AGTGGGTCAAAAATCAGGCCGCTGACATTGTTGTTGTTGATGTTGCTGTTGTTGTTGTTGCTTTTGATGCCTTGGCAGTTGGGCGCAAACCTACCAAGTTTCCTACTACCCGTGACTGCATGGCACGCACATGCTCCACACAATTGTACAGAAATACCTATACTCAAAATATTCATATATGTATGCAAATGCTAAGCTAAAATGCATACAAACTTGGCTGAAAAGCGCAGCTACTCGTAGTTGTGTCTGTTGTTGATTCTGGGTAGAATTTCGAATTTGTTTTATGGGTTTTCGTTGTCAATAAAAGAAGTAGTTCATGCAACAGGTTTACAGCGGCAACAGGCCAGAAACTGGAACCCATAAAATAGAATGGAGAGCTATTAGTATACAGTGTGGAGTAAAGGTCGAAATATAGAGCACAAAGACTAGAGATTATTGACAAACAAACTTATAGAGTATTTCATTATTTTTTTTAAATTTCTATAAAAGTAAAAAATAAAAAAAGCATCTAGCTTAATAGAAACAATTAAAAACGATGGGAGAGACTTTCTATAGATAAGGAAAATTTTAAAAATGAGTTGGACGAGATAAAAGAGTGACGATAATGGAAAAGAGGGCTAAGAGTAGAAAAAAAGAATTCGGAGATCTGCAACAAAGAGAAAAGGGAACAGGAAGGAGAGACTGGAGACTAAGACACAAAAGATTCGAAAAAAACTAGAGACTTAAAATCAAGGATAAGTATCTAGAGAATCGAGATAAATATCCAGATTATAACCTAGAGAGACGAGAGCATTAAAAGAAGTGCTGAGAGTGAAAAGGACCGAAGAGTTACGACTCAAGTATTGGGAGTAAAAAGAAGATCGTAATTGGAGCTTGGAGAGAAGAAAATATAAACTTAAGACCTCGGAGATAGAGTAAAAGGCATAGACTCAAGCGACTGGAGATTCAAGAATCAAGACTAAAATCCTGACACAACTTTTATATCATTATTCCATATCATTATTAGTCGAATAGCTAACAAGTTGAGACTAAGACCAGAGAAGACTAAGCACTTAACCTAGAGACTCTACACTCCAATAACAAAAAGTTTTTAATTAAATTAAGCGCTCAATGATATTCTTGACAAGCAACAAAAGAAAAGTTGATCCAAGGTACTAAAAGTTAGCAAGACTTTTTAAATTTTAAACCTACATAATGATAAGTTTTAGTTTTTCTACAATTTCTTTCTTCCCGTTCAAAATTACGTATGTACGTAAGTAATGGAAATAATATAAATGAATCTTCATAGTTAAAAACCCTACACTCTATACTCTCTTAGTCTGTTAATCATTTTAGAATTTCCCAATAGAAATTTATACTCTTCTCATAGCTCTTCATTTAAATCTGACCGCCCAAGCTTACCAATTATCGCTCTAATTTATTTATTTACTTTCTTCCCCAAAAAACACTCTTGAAGAACGACCCTTAATAGTCTTCCAAACCAAGTTCGATATACGCCAATGGTTTCTCATAACCAACACACAGCCCCTCGTGGTTTGGTTCTATCGCGAGAGCTATTTGCGGTTCAGCTCGCAGGAATACAGCCTGAGCAACCATCACGAATCGGTGCATCTGACAAACTATGCGATACAGAAGAAGTATACGAATGGCAAGCGGGACAAGCGGCTGCCCAGCGAGAATATGTGGGACTGCTATTCGTTTCAGGCCTATTTGCGGCAAATCGGCAAGTCGAACATGTGGCTGGAGCGCATATATCCGGGCATGCGTAAGGCCATAGTGGGCACCATGCTGGCATCCCAGGAGAATATGGATCGACGACCCAATACCTTTGAGCTATTTGGCGCCGATTTCATGATATGCGAGAACTTCTATCCGTGGCTAATCGAAATCAATTCAAGTCCCGATCTGGGCGCCACGACAAGCGTGACGGCGCGCATGTGTCCCAAGTGCCTGGAGGATGTGGTCAAGGGTGAGTACAAAAGCATCTTCGACTTGTCGATGATCTACAGATGAATACATGATACGTTTTATATAACGATATATTCTATAGTGGCAATATAATATGATACTTCAAAGATATTGTTTCTAGAAGTGAGATCAGAACAGATCTCTTCATTCTTTGTGGTCCGATTGAGCCTACTTTCACGAATGCACCTCCAGCCAAAAGTGGAGGATCTATTTCACCAAAGATTGACAGACAGACAGACGTCTCGATAAGACTTGAGCCTAACATCTAATATTGATCATTTCTTCTAGTCGTAATTGATCGCCGCTTGGATCCCAAATCGGATATGGGCAACTTTGAGCTGGCCTATCGTCAGGTGGTGCCGCCCACGCCCGCCTACATGGGCCTCAATCTGTTTGTGAAGGGAAAACAGCTGCTGCACAAGCTCAACCATGGCCATGGCCACTACTACTATCATCATCATCAGCAGCAGCAGCAGCACCATCAGCGCAAGGAGCGCAGCCTGGCCACGAGCAGTGTATTCCGGCAACGTGCCGCAATTGTGCCACCGCCAGCCAATATGTCGCGCATACATCGCGCCATGCCCACCTTCAATGCCACCGAATATATGGAGAAATATATGGTGGAGCCATTGAGCAGCAGTCGCAGCAGCATTAGCAGCAGCACACAGCCAGCAACAGCTGTGCCCACGCTCAAGCCGCCGCCGCCGCCTCCAACAGGAGCAGGAGCAGCAGCGGGAGCAGGAGCAACGCCCTGTCCGTACCTGCTGAAGCAGGCGGGTCGCTCCATAACCCAGCTGCTGAGCGTCACACACAAGCGCAACACGACAGGCGCTCCAGAGGCAGCTGCCACAAATGCGCTGCCACCGAAGCGGCAGCGCAGCTGCGGTCCACGCTTTGTCCAACAACAGGCGGAGGGCACTGAGAAAAAGTTCAAAATACTTATCAAAAATTATGCCTGCAATGCCACAGATAATCTGCTCGAGAAACAGGAGACGCCCAGTGCGCCGGCCACGGCGCCAGCCAACAGCGAGCGCAAGTGGCGCAGCCTGCGCAGCATAACCAACAACAACAACAACAGCAGCAGCAGCAACACGGCCAATAGCTGCTCGAGATCCCGAGGCACATTGTTAGACGGCATCAAATGCTCACAACGTTTTGCGCGCAACAAATCCGAAATCGAGAGCTCGGCCAGCTTGCATGCCATTGGACGCACCTTTGGGCGCAGATCGTATGGACCCCGGCTGCCCATCAGCATCTCGGTGCAGGCGCTGCATCGTGGCGAGCCCATCGTGTCCGCCATGAAGCAGGCCTCCAGCGAGCTGCAGCTCTCGCAGACGCCACCAATTAGTCCACGCACCGCCGCACTGGCCACCAGCAATCATAAATTGACCGTTAACACATTGCTGACAGTGCCACCTCCCACTTGTTGAACCGCCCACAACCACACACACAGCACCCACTTAACCAACCACTGGAGACAACGTTTATCCGTATATGAGAGAATTTCAAATATTCAGACGGAATAATATTCGCATAAATACAATCCGTATATAAGAAATATTCGCATACATTACAAAAAATATTCGCATGCGTTACAATCTCTTAATTTAAGATCTCGAATCTTTAAATTAAATTTAGTTCAGCAGCTAAGACTTATTTCAAACGATATAAAAAAAAACACTCAAAAATCGATTTCCAAATATTTTGCAACTCCAAATCTTAAAAGTGAATACATTTTGATTCGACAACCAAAACTATTTTCAAAGAAAATATTTGAATTCAAAAATTTACTTTTTAATTATCTAAATATATAAGAACTCCAAATCCTCCAAAGTGGGAATACATTTTGATTCTATAATCTAAAACCTCTTTCAAACAAAATAATTTTGGAATTTAAGAAATCTCTTGGATTTCAAATCCACTCAAAAATGTGCTTCCAAATTTTCCAAATATTTTCGAATTCCCAAATCTAAAGAAGGAATACATTTTTATTTTTCCGGAAATTAGGAATTAAATAAATTTATTAGATGCTAGATCCACTAAAAATTTATTTCTAAATTTTCCAAAAACTAATTTTGATGCAGCAGCCAAAACCGTTCTCAAGCGAAATAATATGCAAGTACAAGGAATCTCTAAGAATGTAAATTCTTTCAAAATTAATATTGAAAACTTTCAAATATTCCTAGACTTTTTCAGTATCAAGCTTATGTTCTTGATAAATGCCCCTACTTGACTTCAATAATTGAATAGCTCCTAAGAACGAAAGGATATTCATGGTGAAGTTTTGGGGTAATTCGTTCTGGATTCCGTTCAATGTTAAGAAATTTAGTTCCAAGCTTCGCCTCAATTTAAGACAAATTCCGAGTTTTTTTGAAAAAGTTTATAGTTTTTATATAACAAAAATCGTCAGTGGTTCGGTTCGCGGTTTAAACCAACTCCTTGAACTAAGATTAATTTCACGAACCTGGATTTTCACATCCGTGGAGCTAGGTTACTATGTACAACATTTTACCCAATTGTCAGTCTTTTGGTTCACGGTCTCGAATTTTATTTCTATTCGATCCAAGAATCAAGCTTACATATTTTTATATTCACTTTTTATGCTACCTCCCTTAAAAGCTTGTACTTTAAACCAATCCATTTTTAAGTCTAATAAATGGTTCGTTTTGGCTCAAAGTGTAACAAAATTTTAAAATTTGGTTTTGAACCGGCTAGATTCAAACCCGACTTGCAGCCCTGGCAGCCCTACTTAACATTCTCAAAATGGACTGACTTTTGAACAGTTAAATCGTTTGTAGAATAGAATAGTTGTCTCATTTTTGGCAAAACGAATATTTTTATCAATTTCTGAAAGAATTTTTGTACAATTCTCATAAAAATTCAAATAAATATTTTAAACAATTGCGTGCTTAAGAACCAGTTGGTAAACAAATTCAGATGTAATTTTAAAAGAACGTGGAAATAAAAAAAAATAATTATTTAAATTTCGAGTTAGTTTGTTAATATTGCGGGGTTTGGGTAATAAGATTGGGTTTATTTTTTTAAGTTTCATATATACCTTTATTCTATAGAGTTTGACAAAACAATGATATGTTTTTTGATTTGTTCTGAAAAAAAATCGTTTACTTATTGTTTGAGAGTCTAGTTGAAAATGTACTAATTTGCTAATTTGTTGGCGACTTTAACGATCGATAGCTGTAAAAAGCCGTTCAATGAATGGAATAACAAGTTATTAGTCGATTGTTAGCAGTTTAGATGGTTGCCAAGCTTGGGTCTATGTACAAGTTGCCTGATGCTATTGAACGATAAGGCCGTATTAGTAGTTAAAACTAAATAAAAGTTAATTTGCATAGGCGATCGCTTACCAGATGTTGTCATTTGGGTGCCGTATATTGTAATGCTAGATTCTCGCGCGCTTTTGAATTCAATAGTGTTTTGTTGCCCACGTGAATAACCCTCGAATTCGCTTTGGTCAGTTTCTAGGGGCAAATCGAAATGATATATATACTATATACTATATAATATTTAGATTGTTGTGCCTCACCTTCATTCCCATTTTTCCCACAATCACCTTGGTCGGCAACGATGAAGTTTTAACTTTTTCCTTACCCAACTTACGACTAGTCGTTGTTCTGACATTGTTCAGTATTTTGCGCAGCAGGCGAGTCCGTGGACTATTCCGTAGCTTTGGCATCGATTGGAACAGTTTCATTTGCGTACCGTTTAGCTCTAGAGGTCTGGTACCGTCGACCTCCTTGTTGACATTGTAATTAACTTGAAAAGCGCGCTCGAACAGGCCGGTTGCGGCCAAGGGATTCCTCGGCACATCCAATACCACACGTATGCAGTCCTTTAGCGCCAATGGACAGATTCTCGCTGTTATCTCTGTGGAAGCGGATAGATCGGGCGTCGAATTGATCTCAATCAGTATGGGATTATAATGCTCGTCCAACATAAAATCGCAGCCATATAATTCGAATGCATTTGGCACCAACTCCGTCTCGTCCAGGCTGGCCAAAACAACAGCCACCAGATTCTGTTTGATCCCATTGTAAACTTTTGACCATGTCCCTTCCGGTGCGCCCACATGACGTAAATGGCATTTAAATTGATCCAATGACCACATATTGTTTTTCGGTAAACGCGAATCACGATTCACTTTGTTCTTGTAGCGCTTCTGCACCGAATTGTTGGTTAAGTGTATCGATTCGCGCAGATCATCCATCGTAAACTCCTGGGAGCTAAAGCGCAAATAACAATCGCGATATGTCCAAATTGTCACCTGAGAGTCGCTTATGGTAAGCAGCATATATTGACGAATATCGAACTTGGTGCGATAAACGAGATATGGACGTTCTGAAAAAAAGGAAAATAATTTTTTAATAATTAAAACAAATTTAGCTGTACTGTATATAAAGGTAATGCATAAAATAAAATTTAAATATTAGGTCGAGGAATAAAAATAATAATAATAATAATAATTGGACTATTTTCGGGGGAAAGAATAGAAGCTCTCGTAAAAATAACTTCTGAGAAATGGCCAAAGCAAAAAAAAGGAAAAAGTTTCAGTTTTTTATAATGCATATTATATTTTTATAATTTGTAATGTAAGGTAAAGCGACGCTTTACATTAATTGTAAAACGAATCGATTTAACATCGTAATTTCTATATTTTAAATACCATGATTAGTTCATCGATTAGCTCATATATCATAATTATATCTAATTGATCATAGTTTGAAAGAGTTTCATTGAATCGATTTTTTTACTATTTAAAATATAAATATGTATATTAAAATTATAATTGCAAATCTTTGAATCCTGTTAGAATATGAAAAAATCATTTCAAAAATGTGTAAAATATAAAAATAATTTGTGGTAAATTAAATAGTCATATTAAAAATTGCTGAGGATCCAAGGTTTGTAACCAAATCAGGATTATAGTTTGTGGAAAACCACGTTCACGAAGATAACCAGCCAAAGCCTTGGTTTAAGCCCGGAGCAGAATCAGCGAGAACGTTGAAAATATGCAAAGGTTACTTATTCGGAAAATTGAAAAATTAAAAAATAAAAGATATATAAAAAATCGAATAAATGAAACAGTTCTATTAAAATTTGATAGAAAGTTGAGGTTTCAAGATTTAAATCCATTTCAGAGTTTAAAGCTGAGAAAATTCATGTTCACGAAGCGAATTTTAAGCTATGGTTAAAATGTAATATATATATGTATAATATGCGTGTATAATACATATAATTTAATATATTAATATTAATAATATAATATAAAATTATTAATAATATAATATAAAAATATTAATAATATAAAATAAAAATATATATAAAATAATATAATAACATCTATAATATTACAATATATATTGTATTAATATGGACATTGTATATAATATACATAGAATGCATATAACAAGATAATCTTTTACCAAAACTTGGTAAAGATTTCATTTTGAAGCGAGAAGTATTATGATCTGAGCGTATTAAGAGCTCTGCGATCAAAAGCAAAGGACATTTGAATCCTTTCCAGTTAGATGGCAAATATCATAAAACTCACCAATATACTTTTGTACAATATATTTTCGGTTCTGATTGTTAGATGTCCATTGCAAAATCTCATCCAGAGAGCTACGTATGACGATCCCGATGCCACGCGATTGATAACCAGGCTTTAGTATCCACAAATTGCGACAGCCATCCCAGCAATAATCCTGACGGAGCGACTCAATCTCATCGAGATATTGAGCAGCGAGGCGCGCATACTCCGCCATCACCTTCTCGTTGACCTTGAACCTGGCATGCGCGTGGAGCACCTTGGTCGACTGAACCATGAACGATTGATTCTCGATCATTTCAGTGGGCGTTGGCAATTTGATGCGCGCATCATCTAGAGAATAATGCTCCTTCTGTCTGATCATGTTCTTCACTTTATTCAGGGCAAAGTCAATCGTAATGCTCAGCACGGCGCCATGTTCAGGGTCCACCATATCGGCAGGACGGTGCTCCTTAAGGTAGCGTAGCAAAGAGCGCGCCTGTGTCTGGTGGAAATCCTCAATGAACGCCGCACGCTCCTCCATGCTATTGGCGCCCAATCGATAGAAGCGTGGATAGCTCATGCCGCACACGCCGTCCTCACGAAACCAGCGCTCCTGCTCGGCGCAACCGACCAGGCCCACCTTGGTGGAGAAGTCAAGCAATTGACTGCGTCTCACCCGATTACGATATGGCTTCACCTCCGGGAATAAATCCCTCTGTGCCTTACTCTGCCAAATGAAGAACGATGGAAAATTGTTGATCATTTTCGATATGACAACTGCTTCATAATCATTGCCGCGTCGCGCATGCTCCAGCAGTGAATCCTCCGACATGGTCTGCAGCTTGGCATGCCGAGTAGCCGGCAATTTCTCCAGCCAGCCGCGGCGGACAAGCGCTCGCCTAACCGTATGATAGTTGCCATAAACGGTAAATATGCGGCGATTTCGATAGGCATCGATAACACGCGTCCGATAGGTATTACGCAATTGACGCTTATGCGCATCCGGCGCCAAGCCGGCCGTTGCAGTCGCGGATTGGGTCGTGGAGCGCGCCTGGGCCAATAGATTATTACCGCTCGTCTGATGCTGGCTGCCCGATTGTTGCGATATGAGACCGTTTTGGCTATTGCTGGCGACATTCTTTGGCAGCGAGCATTGCTTGCATAGTGTTATCAGTTCCGCATCCAGATTTTGTATCAACGACTGTATCCGGGAGACAGGATTATAATACCGATTACGGTGTGTATTGAATGCACTCGAGGACGCCTGGCTCATGATGTTGCTGTCTCTGTTATTGTTGTTGTTGTTGTTTGGATTTATGTTTGGGATGTGGATGGGCTTGCTTCGTTAATTGATCTTCCTATCTCGAGCTGTAGGTGTCTGGTGCTATGTTTCAGATTTGATACTTTTTTATTTGGTTTTTATGCAGCCAACTCTTGTTGCTGCAATTGACGAGAAATTTTGAAGCAGTAGCCAAACCTTATTCTAACAGTATCGCATTTAAATAGGCAATATCTTTATTGATTTATGAAACATAGCTTCGCTTAAACGGTAAAAATTTGAGACCAAAAAAAACTTGTAACGAAACGAGTGCAAGACGAAATTTGAATTAAACATACAAGCGCCTATAAAATACAAAAAAAAAAAAAAAGCAGTCGTTATATAATGTTAATATCATAGCTTGCTAAACCCTATCACTAGGAACCTTCAGCAACTGCCATGTGCTACGTTGTTCTCAGTTCTACACAAGTTCTCAGTTTTCTACGCAGTTCGGCATTTAGGGCAAACATTTGCCCGTGTCCGGGCACAATGTGTTCACACAATTCCGCCAGACGATGCCGCTCTTGAGCCTGTCGCTTCTCGTCCTCGCTGCCCGCAGCCTTCCAAATCTGTGCATCGTCTATGTCCTCGCGCCGCTCGAACAGATCCCCACAAATGCCCACCGTGCCGTTCAGCTTTGTATTGTGTACTATGACCGAGACACAGCTCAGCGTGTGTCCAGGCGTCTCCTCGACCAGCACCTCGCCATGCGCATCCAGTGCGCCGGCATGCTCAAAATAAAGATCACGATTGGATGCACACGAGCCGACAATATGCAGACGCGCCTCCTGGAATAGATAATTGCAGCCAATATGATCCGAGTGCCCATGTGTGCAAACGACCACATTTATATCGGCCGGCTGCAAGCCCTGCGCAGCCAGCAAGGATTTCAACTGGTCGCCATCCCAGGCGGTTAGGGTGTCCACAATTATGTTGGTGCCATCGCGACAGCTTATCAGCGTGCAGCTGCAGTTGGCGCGCATTGCATTCGCCTCGTTTGCATCCTTGTACGAGTAGCCTGCCTGCAGCACAATCACCTGATTTTGTGACATTATTTCAATTTAATTTCATTAAAGGTTGCCAATCGAGTTGCTTTTTGTTTTGATTTCAAGCATTAGGGGCACCCGTCAAGAAAGTTGTAAAAAAAAAAACCAATTGCTCATGAGTGAGCATAAATGAGCTGATCACTGAACTGGACCAGTGAACAAGTTCCTGCTAATAGTTATATTCTTATATTTGCATACACCGTATTTGCACATAATACTTAAAAATGTTAAAGCTGAAGATTAAAAAGTGGGTTAACATTATATTAACATTTTAGTGTTGTGTCTGTTTTGGCTGTGAGCTGCTCATAAGTGAAGAAAACACAGCTACTCACTGAGCTGAGCCAATGAACATTGCGAATTTTGTTCGCTTGAGTTACGTTCTTTTGAATTTGCTGCCATTAGTTCTTTTGTTCACACAAATGAACCGTATTTACTCATTTTGGCATAAACAGCTGTTGGGCATTAACAGGGCTGCAGTACATTAACATACAGCTGCTTGCCGCACAGGTTGGCAGCACCCATAACGGCTGTTGGTCGCCGCGCTCACATTTCACAAGTCGCAATTTGTTTATTATTTAACAAATTTTTTCTGTATAAAAATTGCGATTTTGGCAATGTATTTAAACTACCTGCCGCGTGCGCCATGCAAGTATCTGCAATATTTGCTGCAAATGCGGCAACTGCAACTGTTGCGCCGGCATGTAAACAATGGCGCCAAGCCGCCCATTCGAGACGCCGCCTGGCTGTGCGAGCCGAGGTTAGCAACTGGGCAGCTGCTGCTGCTGCCGCTTCCAATTTCCCACAATTGCAGCAGGCGACGTGCGTCTAGCACCGATATCCAAGGCACAGTGGAGCAGCAACAGGTGCTCAGCAGCTTGGAGGAGCTGGAGGATTGTTGCGAATCAACAAGCATGCATAAGGATGCGCTCAGTTTGCGGCTGAGTGCAGCAAGTAGCCCACAGGAGCTCTTGGATTTGTTTGCGCAAGGCCAGCTGCCGTCTACGCATCAGGTACAGTGCATGTCGCTGCTCTGGTCACGCTATCAGCGTCTGGCGGCCAGCCAGAAGGAAGCGCTGACAGCGCAACTGCAGCAACATGTGCCCAAGACTCTGACGCCGCAGATAGTAGCCGCCATGGATGTGAACGACCTGAGCTGCTGCTATTTGTATCTGCGCAAAATGCACGTGCCCAACAGTGATGCCACGCTGGAACGGATTCTGCTGCGTGCCCTAAATATAATTGAGCTAGCAGCTGAGGGTCAGGAGCTGGTGCCGCTGCCCGCACTTTCCCGGCTGCTGGTGGCCATCAATTTGGAGCGTGACTTCTTTACGCCGCTGGTCTGTCGCAATTTTATGCCACATCTGGAGCGGCATGTGGCCAACTGCCTCAGCGAGCAGGATGTGCGTCTATTATCCACCTGCCTGTTCCAGCTGCATACGCTAATCGATGCCGAACTGCTGGCGGCATTTAAGCAGCGCGTCCAGGAGCTGCTGCAATGCGGCACGTTGACCAGTGACACGCCCAAGGCGTTGCTCAAGTTGTTGCATATGCTCAATATGCCCCGATGGTCGCATCTAAATACGGCCTTGATACGCCAGCTATTGCTGGCGTTGCGCAGCTGCCTGCCAACGCTGGAGCCCAGCGATCTGAAGAGCGTATGTCGCACCTTTCTGCATCATCAGGAGCCGGTGGCACTGGTGCAGCCACTGAAAATGGCCACAGAGCGACTGCTGCAGCAGGAGCCCACGCCAGATGCCCTTTCCTGTGCGGTGCCATTTGCCACGCTGCAGCAACGCGATGCCTACATACAGCAATTCCGCCAGCTGCTGCACTCCAAAGCCGCCTGGCAGCTGCCCAATGCAAGCGGCCATTTCTTCAGTGTGCTGCGCGCCCTGAAGATTGCCGATGTGCGCTACTGTGATGCCTACTGGTCGGCGGTGGTTGGTGAGCTGACAAATGATCCCCAGGGGCAGCGGCATTTGCGTTTTTTGCGCCATTGTCAGCGCTACATGAACTTCAACAATAATCTTGGCGGCACGTATCGCCATCAGAGCGTGGAACGCACGCTCAGTCGCATGTGCCTCGATGCTATTGAGCGGGATGTGGCTGGCAGATTGCCAGCGAAATTCGCACGGCTGGCTTCATTTGTCTTGGCCTACGGCCAGACGCCGTTTGGCTGGAAGAAGTTCCCCAATCTGCTGCTGAGCAAAATGCTCGCCATGGCGCCACAATTTGATATACAGGATTGTTTTCTGCTCGGTCGCGGCATGCAGGTCGCCTGCGAGCTGCGCTTCCGCCAGCATGTGCCACATCTGCTGGCCATGCAGCTGTCCACCATGGACAGCATTCTGATTGCCTGTGCCGAGCGGCATTTGAGCAACAGCGAACAGCAGCCGCTAAATGCCAGCGATCTGAGCGTTCTGGTGCGCACACTAAGTCATCGCAAAAGTGAGTCCATCCACCAACTTGACAACGCCTGTACCTAATCGTATCTTAATCCTTTGCAGCGCTGAAGAACACCCAGGTGTATAATCAGGCGCTGGCGCATTACAAAACCCTTCAGTGCAACGATCTCAATTCGCGTGTGGTGCGCGAAATGGCATATAATTTTAATGCCTCGCACTTTTTTGTGCCCGGCCTGTTGGAATCCATGTTCGACTATATCGTCCAGCAGCATGAGCACATCACGGGCGACACCGTCGAGAAGGTGCTCACCTGTGCCTACAATCTGGGCTACACGCCTGCCTCGCTGGACGCCCTGGACTATGCTGCTTTGGTGCTACTACGGTGCGTCCCAATGTGCTCTCCCTTCTATTTGCAGGGTATACACCCATTCAATATAGTATATCTTGAACAACAACTTGATCAGCTAGAGAAACCGCATTCGGTTCTCATATAGCAAACACAATTATTCCTCCTTTGACTATCCTTTTCCACTCCTTCAAAAATTGAGTCCATTAAAGAGGCATTACTTTGGAATTTGGTATGTATTCCAATTTGAATGCCATCTTTCAGACTTGATAATTTCATCGTTCTCTTTCTCTCTTCAATTTCGCAGCGATTTTGATCACATGAGCGGTTTGTCCTTGGTGCAGTCGTGCCTGGCGCTGTGCTTCTATAAGACCATTCCGGAGCAGCTGGTCAATCGAGTGTTCTGCGTCAAGTTCATACAGCGCATTGAGGATGAGATACAAATCTGTTACTCCAAGGCGACCTATCCGGGTCTGGTGCTCAATCGCGTGATGCAACTGAATCGCACCGTTTGCCTGGATCTGCCCGAGACAAATGTGCCCTGGTTTCAGCAGAACTACGTGGAGGCGCAGCTCAGCAAGAGTGTGTAGTTAGAAAAATCCCAGTTGACCGAGCTAACCGAAGCTTCGCTTTCAGAACCGCTTGTGCCCAGCGCTTTTAGTGCGGATGTCAAACGTCTGCTGCAGGATTTGCTCAAGGATGAGAACTATTTTCGCTGCAATCACACAACGCCCTATGGCTATCAAATTGATTTCGTGATACATTTCGACAAGGATAAGAAGCTCATACCAGCGCCGCCAGTGGAGGTCACCATCTTGGATCGCATAACCAAGTATATAACCATATATATATAAAACTGTTCTGCTTGACTGACTGACGGATGGGTAGTCAAAGTACAGCATAAAAGCTGGGAAGCTGTAGTTGAATAATAGGGTGAAGATGCACGCAAAGGCGAGGTTTACTTCCCGCAAGGAAAAAGCCTGTTTACAGCTCTTCAAATATGAAATTCATTTGTCGGGAAATCCACAAGTAGAGAGATTGACTTAAAGCGTAGCGTTTGGGGTTCAAATGAATTTTTAACTTCACACTTTTCCCATTCAAGGCCGGGGAATATCCGTTAATAAGTCTATATCTAAGTAAAACTAATATGAAATATTTAATTTCTTACCAGGGTGGCCATTCTGCTGCTCAAGCTGGACTCCTTCTGCGAGAACGATCTGACTGCGTTGCGTGGTCCCGAATCGCTGAAGATCAAGCATCTGGAAATGATGGGCTATAAGGTGTTGCATATTAACGAGCACGACTGGAACTCCAAGTACATGATGGCGCCGGGCGCCAAGGCAAACTATTTGAAATGCCTGCTGCAAATTTCACATTAGATTAATTATTGTTAAAACAGTTCAATTCAATTAGGGCTTACGTTTAAGTTAGTTAGCTTGTGATGTTGTTGTTTATGTTTTTATCGTAATTAGCAAATGACTTGTGTATATATGTATCTTTAATCTATTACTAGTCATATAAAGCTTGACTTTGAATCATAGTTTGCGATTTAAGAGAAGTTTTTATATTGAAAGAACGTGAAATATAAGTGGAAATTAAAATAGCGATGAGTCTTAAAAAGTGTGAATGTATGAGTGGAAAATTAATAGGAATTTGTAATATTCCAAATTCTATAAAATATGAGTGAAAAGTGAAACAATTAATGAGGAGAGTTGTGAATTATAGATATGACAATAATTTTAACGTAATAAACGCTCTAATTAAGACAGATCATATATTTGTTAAATTTAAAATCGCGTAGAACATAAGTCAAAAGTTAAAAATAGGAATTGCAATTTTGAGAATGCAAATCCCAATTGATATTTAATGTGTGAATAATGTGTGTAAATCCCTATATTTTGTTTTAAATCGCGTGGAATATATGCGAAAGGTAAACTATGTAATTATAATTAATGCGAATCATAGGAGTATGAATCCTAATTAATATTTTATATTTGAAATCGCGTGGAATATATATGTATGGGGCAAGCAGAAAAGGGTACCGAGAGAGTAAATGTTTAATTGGAATGAAAGGACATTTGTCAAATGCTATTACTGCTGCGGTGCACACCATTTGTAGGCATTGTTAAACATAAGCTGCCAGGGACTCTCCACTTGCGTGGCGGGCACATCAAAGCCCGGCGGCACATATGGCCACTGATACATGGCGCTGCAGCGTTCCGGATGCGGCATCAGCGCCAAATGGCGGCCATCCGGCGAACAGATGCCAGCAATGCCCTTGGGGCTGCCATTCGGATTCATGGGATACAATTCAGTGGGCGCACCCCC